CTTTTATGTCCTTTTTAAGTGTGTTTTTAAGTTTCTAAATACCTAGATTTTAATTCTCATAGTAAGTTTAATAATTTTTTAAAAAACTCATAATTTATTCTGTTTTTAATATAACTTGTTTGTGAACTGCCTTGGGTCCCCTCAACAGGAGAAAAGTAGCACAGAAATCAATCAAACAAGCAAAGAGTTGTGTATGAGCGAGCTTCAAAGCAAGAGCTTTTCTCTCCTTGTATAATTTGCAAATTAGCTTGCAGGTGGTCAGCACAGTTCTTCCTTTCTGAGAGGGTTACAACTGCTGTTTGATAGGCCTGCAGGTGGTCAGCACAGTTCTTCCTTTCTAAGAGAGTTACAACGGCTGTTTGGTCTGCTGCAGCGCAGGGCTGGTTCGCTCTTTAAGTCAGTGATCAGATGATATCTTTGTAGGAATGAACCAGATCGCTCCTGGAGTGATCCTACCTGCACTTTTCTGAGCCCCCCATCAGGGGCATCTACTTGAACTAAACCAGAACAAGGTACGATTGCTCTGGTTTAATTCAATTCCACCACATGTGATAACTGGAAAAGAACCAGAAGCATGCCTTCTGTCAAGGCTCCTTGCTGTGGGAATTTCTGATATTGCAAAATGGTTTAATAAGAGAGCCACTTCAAGATATTGGCAAATCAAACACTTCCTCTGCTCGTTGGTGGAGGGGTAGAGGAAGTAAATTTTTGAAGACTTTATTAAGACAAAGAAAATGTGCTATACAGTATCTCTTATTTAAAAAATCTTTTCTTTGCCTTGCCTTAAAAACTAGTTTAGAACAGCCTGCAGTTGAGTGTACCAGCCCACTCCAAAAGAGTCAGTCCAGACAAGCCATAATTTTTCAAGTAGTAAATCTTGGGGCCTCAGTAGATGAGAGGCCAAGTCTGTACTTAGAAGCAGTGTTTCCTCAAAAGAAAAAAAAAGACTATTTGTGTATTCTAACCTGAACTCGTCTTCATCTGCAGGTGGCTAATCAGCTTGCTTCTGTTTTGAGTGGGTCAGGTGGCAGAGGGCATGGCTTTATTAGCTTATCCGATACCTCAGTTGTGTAGTTCTAAAAATGTGCCATAATATTGGAAGAGGAGGAAATCCATAGTGCCTTAACGTAGAGACCTGGTCTCTTAAATACTAATGTGACTAAAGCTCTAATGACAGGTTATGTCTACTGTAATTTGTCTCTTTGACACTGATCTTGGAAGAGCTTCTTCCACCTCACCTAAGGGTACCAAACCAGCTTAGGGTATGCAGGGTTGGTTGACAAGAATACATTGCTGTGTCTTCCAAAACTGAGCAATGGCCAGGGGTTTCCCATTTTTGCCCCATCCCAAACCCAGCACCAGCTGACCGACCTCATTCTTCCCAGTGGTAGTGCAGTAACTACTGCTGCCAAGAGTGTTCTTAGTATGATATGTAATAATAATTATGAGCTCTCAAGTCAATTCTAACTTATGGTGACCCATTTCACGGTTTATTAGGTAGACAGAAGTGATGTATCATTCCCTTCTGGGGACAACCTGGGACTGTGCAACTTGCCCAAAGCCACACAGACTGGATTTTCTAGACGCGCAGTAGGGAACTGAATTCCCAACCTCTGGCTCTGCTGCTAGATACCTAACTCACTGAGCTATCCAACCAGCTAAAATAATATTGATTAAAAATCAAGCCCATTCAGCCCAGTGGGACTTATTTCCAATGTACAGTGTTGCAATCTAATTTATATTATGGCTGCAACTACATGGTCACATGCTGCTTATAAATCAGGTGAATTTGAAGTATTTTTTTACAGACCACATGACTGAAATCAGCCCACCCACTTTTGGTCCTGAAGTGGCTCCCCCGCCCCCCGTGGTGACTCTACTTTTTAAAGCTGAGATGATTTGAATCACATGGTTGTGATATGTTCTTGTAAAGATGGCGTGCGCGTCTGTAGGTGGTGTTTCAGTGACATAGACTGTTGGGGTGTGTTGTTCATGACTGGGAGAACCTTTCTCACATTCTTTCCTTTCCCCTGATCGCCCTTTTGCTTTTTATTTTTTGATAATTTCTTGCATATACAAGATTAGCGCTAGATCACTCCATCACCGGGTCCTTATTATAATCATTTCCCACATTTATCATGTCCCATAAAAGGATGACAGAGGTGGGACCAGAAAAGCAAGGCTCTGCAGAGGCAGTACCAGAAGAAAGAAAATGGGAGCTCCTGGGGGCTAGATTATGAACCCCCATCACATCCAGTATGAACATGAGTTCTCAAATCAATCCATAGCCCATGTGAATACTGATTATGATTTCAAACATAATACAGATTACGAATCAAATTGCAGTTCAGTAGCATCCTGATAAATAATACACCCTTTTCTCTCTTTTTTAAAATTAAGGAACAAAAACAAAAAAACCAAAAAAATCTAATAATAACCCCCCCAAGATGAAAAAAAAATCAATGCACACATTTAAAAAACAAACTACTGTACACAATTACATAAAGGGGGGGGGAAGAAGTGATATATCTTGCGACTTGGGTCCCCTGTGTATCATCCATCAACCTGTTACCTGAGCTTCTGTATTTCCATGGAATTTTGAAGAGGAAAATGCTGCTGTACTTCACATATAAATGAATCTTGAGTATTATTTTATTCACAAATGTCTCTGATGTCCTATCAAATGAAAATAATTGGTTGAACCTTGTTTTTTTCGTTTTTAAAAAAATCTGAAGCCTAGCTTCAAAGCATTAATGCAAGCCTAAGTAGTTTGTGGACTGCGTCGTTCAGCAGTACAAAGTCTTCCCAGGTCGGTGACTGCACGACTCCTTTGAGAGAGATACCTGGTGGTTTTATAGTGCAAAAAGAAAAGTAGGAGTGCTCAAGCTTTATGACACACGCGTGCTCGCGCTTGCAACTCTGCAACCTGATCTGACGCAGGTTGCTGAACCAGAACGAGATTCAGAAGGATCCTTTCCTCGTTCTTCCTTTATAGCAGGTACAGGCACTCGGCAGCTACAAGCTTTGCAACAATCATAAGCAGCCGCTTCTTTGGCGACGTACATAGTCCACGAACTATGTTGCCAAACCGTTCTTCTCGTGCGGGGGCGGCTTTAGAGTAAGAGTATGGCAAAGCCTCTCCCGTCTCCCAGCCCTCTAGCACTGACAGGTGTAGATTTCCTTCCTAGCATTAATTAAGGTTGCATTGCTGGGAACACCCACTGAACTCAGCGGGACTTCCGAGTAAGCGACACACACACATTCGGACCCCCTTATCCTTACATTAAGGGCCAGGATTATTTCCAGGATTATTTTTAAAAAGGCGTCTCCAGCAGTTCCACTGGATCTTCCTTATCCGTTTGATCCGCAGCCCTTTTCCTTTCGAAAGCGGACAGAAGGCTTCCGTTCATGGCAACAGGAAGAAAAGGGTAGCTTCCTCCCCCCATGGAGACAAATATTTTATTTTTCTGCATCCTCCCACCCTCCCTTATATCCCGTGCCTTCCCTCTTCTTGCCGGAGGAGCGACTGGGCTCAGGCTGAGGTGGTTCGGGGTAGGGCAGGCGTTGTTTACAATCCTGAAGTCACTCCAGATTGTTTTGTGTTTCCTACTGGGAAGCCAAAATTGGGGAGAGACAAAAGAGGTGTTCGTGTTGGAAAGCGGGTTGCGAGATAACGTGTGTTCGCTCGCTTTCTCTCTCGCGTGCACGCGACTACTCTCGGTAGCAAGCGAGGTGGAAAAGCACTTTGTGCACGCTTGGGAGCGCGGTTTTCTTAAATTATGGCTTGATATCAAGGCTGAGACCCTGCGCGTAGCGGACGCAGATAACGGATCTCCCAGTTATGTCCGAAGCAGGCCGACCGAGGCCTACACAAACAGCCACGTTCGCACGACCAAGTAAGCCCGAGGAAATCCTGCCCACTTCCTTTCTCCTCTGCCTAGCGGGGTCCCGGTGCAGATGTTGAACGTGGGTCACCAATTAGCCGTAGGAAGCTCGACATCTGGCAAGAAAGCTCGTGCCTGGACGCAGCTTGCCAGGACGGTGGGTGGACGCGGGCCGGGGGGGGGCAAGGAGGTTGAGTATTTTCACGCGTATTCCACGCTCCTCCTCCGCGTCTGTCATCCTTCTAGTGGTCGTGTGAACGGGCCAGGCTTCCTCAAATCCCAAAGGACGCTATTATGTCATTCCCGTGGCGTCACTGCTTGCCATCTGGAGGGGGCAGAAAAGCGGCGCTGCTCTGTATTCATCATGCCTTTTACACCCACCCACAAAGGCGCAAATTTTGGTGACTGTCTTCACAGATGGGTCTGCCACGGCGCCGCTCCCCAGCCCTGCTTCGGTGTCAAGTGTTTGGGGAATGATTAATGGGCGGCTGCGGGGCGAGGCAGCCTCTTATCTCCCTCACCCCATAGCTTTTAAACAAGCCGCCCCCACCCTCCCCGCCTCCTGAAGGGATGCATGCAGCCCGTTTAGACGGAATGTTAGGAGGATCCGAAATTTAGAGAGAGAGAGAGAGAGATGCAGGAGCGGGGAAAAGAAAAGGGGTGCCATAGCCCCGCTTTCCCAGTTGCCGAGAGAACCACCGTTCCCATGCTCCACCTCAGCCACTAGGAGAAAGCGGCTGGCGTGCACGGGTCGGAGTGTGCGTGTGTAGAAAGAAACCTCACACCTCTCCTCTTCCTTTGCCCCCCACCCAAAAAAAAAAAATCCTCAAAAGGAAGCGGCCCGCCCCATTCTTTCCCCACTCCCCTTGCCAGAGGAGGAGCAAGAGGAGGAGGAGGAGAAGCGGGCCGCGGCCCAAGCCACGGTGAAGTGAATGCGTTGCCATGGCAACTGGCAGAGGCAGGCAAGCAGCGGGCCGGCCCCAGCCGCCTCGGCTTCTTCTCCTCAGCTCTCCTCCGGGTGTGTGGGTGGGTGAAGAGGAGTGGAGCAAGCCAAGCCGAGCACGGGGAGAAGAAGCCGCCTGAGCGGGTTGGCGGGGGAAGACGGGGGTGGTGGTGGTGCGGTGGGGTGGGGGAGAGAAGGAAAGGAGAGAAAGGCCGGGGGAGTTTGGGTGTTGCGTGAGGCGAGGGAACGGCGCCACCCTGAAGAGGAGGAAGAGGGCGCGCGCGCAAAATTGGCTCCAGGATGATGGAGGACGGATTCTCCAGTTACAGCAGCCTCTATGACACCTCCTCGCTCCTGCAGTTCTGCAACGGTAAGGGAGAGGAAAGGAGGGCTTTCTCTTGCCCTACAGCTCCCACCTTCTATCCCCGGGAGTGTGTGTTTGTGTGTGTGTTTGGCTCGGGGTTGTGGGTTCAGGCAGGGTGCGCGAAGTACACAGTCCTGGAGCCCGGCAGTAGTGGCTTTCACTCTTATGCTTTGCAAGCATTGGCTGCTGCTGCTGCTGCCGCCGCCTGGTTCTTGGCAAGTGAGGTGGATGTGCAAAGCAGAGCTGGCAGGAGAAATCCATAACATGCACCCCCTCTCTTCCTCCTCCGGCCTTTTTCGTCCCCAGTGATCTTGCTTGGATGAAGCGCAGGGCCTTTCTCAGCCCTCTTCATAATACCTCCTTTTTTTGCCCTAAAACTGGGGTGCTTCGGAAATGTAGAAGGGGATGGGAGGCGAAAGAAGTTAGCTCCACCACCATTCTACCGCCCTGTTTTGTTTGACAGCACAGCAGAAAAACCTTGGAGGTTCAAGTTATTTTGCTGGTGTGTGAGCTTGAAAATGAGGCGGAGGGAGCTCATATCTGCTGTGTGGAGAACTTTGTCTCTTTGGTTTACAAGAAGGCATAGACGATTCCTAAGTGTGTGTGTGTAAAAGAAAGTGAAAACTGCCCATCCGCTGTGTTTGAAGGGAAGAAAGCTGTTTCTATTTCTAGGTCTAACGTTGGGAGCCTTCATTTAGTGGATTAAAGACTTGTCCAGTTGACATGTTTTCTAGTTCTATAGTTTTTTGGCTCTGGATAAATGAGCAAGACTTTAAATTTCTAAGAAATGTGCCTTTGTGAGCAAATCTTTTTGGTGTGAATCATTGTGCTTTGTATAATTGTGTTGATTGGTTCAAGTTGTTCCAAATACACCACAATGTGGAAGATTTATGGTTTCTGGTAAGGCAGTTTTTAAAGTAAACAAATGTCAGTTTTGAGATGGAAAAAATGTCTGTTTCTAAGTTCTGTATGTTCTGGCACATTTCCTTGGGATTTCATTAAATCAGATGATGTTTGGGTGGTGATGTGACAAAACACAACTTATTTTACAGTGAACGTTTATAGTAAAATGTTAAAAGGCTTTTCCCCAAGTGGGATTAACGTTGGCAGGGGATTTTTATTTTTTTGTAAGAAATTTGTTGTTGTTTAGTCATTAAGTCCTGTCCGACTCTTCGTGACCCCATGGACCAGAGCATGCCAGGCCCTCCTGTCTTCCACTACCTCCCAGAGCTGGGTCAAATTCATGTTGGTAGCTTCAGTGACACTGTCCCATAAGAGTTTCCTTTGTCGTCCTGTAATAAATTGGACCCATCCTAAAAAACAAACAAACAATTTACCAGGGAATATATGTACTGACCTCAGATGGATTTGATTTTGGGGAAGCATATACTGTAAAGGATTTCATTCTTAATTGCAAAAAAGTTTTGTAATGTTTATTTGGACTATTTGATTTTTGAGAAATGGATAAAATTTATAATCGATAAATTGCAGCATGAACTGTCAAACTTTTAGATAGTAAATAGATACTGGAATATGTATGTGTAATAAGAGATACATGATTGTGTGACTGTTGAAGGGACAAGTAAGCTTGTTAAATGCTGTACTTATATTGTGCTTTATTAGATTGTTGTATTTTTGTCAAAGAAAGCAGTTCTGCAACATCAGAAAGGAAGGGTGGAATTCTACATATCAATGTTTATACAGTATCTCAGTCAAGATGCTCTCTATATAATAATATACAATTTCTGTTGCTGGATTCAATGTATGTATACTTTTTCAGTACTTATGGTGATACACTATGCAGAGTAATTCCTGGTAATAACAGTGCTTGGTGGGGTTTTTTTTTTTTTGAGACTTGTAAAAAAACCAAGCACTGTTATTAAAACAACAGCAGACACATTTGCTTATTAACATTTTTGATGGATTCTTTTTTCATTCCTATTGCTTTCCTTGATTACATGCTGTACACACAAATAACTTGATTCATTCATGCTTTCCTCACATGTGTTTGGTTTCAACAAGATTAACTTGATAAGATGTTGTACAACTGGACTCACAGCCATTGCCCTGGGGAGATCATATGACTGTATTATACAGATTCTGGCCCATGAGGAAACAAATTAGTCATAACTTGTTACTGAGTTGGTTTTGATGATGATTATTTCAGTCATGTGGACTGCAGGGAGGTACTCCACCTGTATAGGAAGATGAAAAGGTATTAATGTAAACACAAATAAGAGTATTTTCTACAGTTTTGAAGGCCTAAATAGATATAAACGGAGCCCTAACAAATGATGATAGCGTTTTAAAATGTAATTGTTTAAAATTCTTGTGGATAGCTTTTTGTATATTCTGGACATTGTCTGTCTTAACTGAAACTCTCTGTCCAAGATATCAAGTACTGTATCAATATTTCCCCTGCATTCTAAAATCTTTGATGTACCAGAAGCAAGAGAATGAGTTCAGGGCAGGTGGTTATGCCAACTTTTGGGGGCTGTGGTCTTGGTGCTTATTTGTCCTATTGTTACCCTGTTTCCCTGAAAATAAGACCTAACCTGAAAATAAGCCCTGGCATGATTTTTCAGGATGCTCGTAATATGCCTCAAAAATAAACCCCAGTTGAGTGAAACCCCAGCCCCCATCATTGTACAACAACCAGAAGAAGATGACAGGACTGTACAGTATTTGAATAAATGTAGATTGCTGTACATGGGAAAAAAAGAGACATCCCCTGGAAATAAGACCTAATACATTTTTGGAGCAAAAATTAATATAAGACCCTGTCTTATTTTTGGGAAAACAGGGTACTGTAGTTTCAAGTCTAAGTATCTGCAATCTGTTGTGAAGATCTGGAGATGCTGAATGTTTGTATGCATTTTTACACACTTTTGAAAGTATATCATGAGAAACGGGGTTATTCTGAAAGAAATGGGTGTGCCTCTGCACTTGACTGTTCTGATGCATAATTTATATTGTGAACAAGAAGCTACTATTAGGACAGACTATGAAGAGACAGAATAGTTACCTATAGGCAAAAGGGTCTGATAAGGGTACAGTTTGTCCCCTTATCTATTCAGTCTATATGCAGAACATGTGGAAAGCCAGATTAAATTCAAATGAAGGAGTGAACATTGGTGAAAGAAACGTCAATAATTTAAGAGATGCAGATGACTTCTAGTGAAAATGAAAGAAGAATGTGTCAGAGCAAGACTGCAGTTGAACATTCAGAAGACAAAAATCATGACTACAGAAGTACACAACTTTAGTGCTGACAATGAAGAAATTGGAATACTGAAAGATTTTTTTGTAGGTTCAGTGGTCAATCCAAATGGAGATTGCAGCCAAGAAAAAGATTTTTTTGTATCTTGGTTCAGTGGTCAGTCCAAATGGAGATTGCAGCCAAGAAATCAGAAGAAGACTCAGACTAGGAAGGGCAGCAATGAAGGAATAAGAAAAGAGAATCAAGTGTAAGGATGTGGCACTGGAAACCAAGACCAAAATCATCCATACTCTTGTATTTCTAATTACTGTGTATGGGTGTGAAAGGTGGACAATTATTTGTATCTTGGTTCAGTGGTCAGTCCAAATGGAGATTGCAGCCAAGAAATCAGAAGAAGACTCAGACTAGGAAGGGCAGCAATGAAGGAATAAGAAAAGAGAATCAAGTGTAAGGATGTGGCACTGGAAACCAAGACCAAAATCATCCATACTCTTGTATTTCTAATTACTGTGTATGGGTGTGAAAGGTGGACAATTAAAAAAGCTGACAGGAAAAATATTGATTTGTTTGAAATATGGTGCTGGAGGAGAGCTTTGTAGATATCCTGGACTGCTGGAAAGACGAACTAGTGGCTCTTAGATCAAATCAAGCCTTTACTATCTCTAGAGGCAAAAATTGTTGAAACTGAGGCTACTTTGGGAACATCATGAAAAGAATTTTCTGGAAAAGATAATAATGTTGGGAAAGGTGGAAGGCAGCAGGAGAAGAGGAAGACCAAATACGAGATGGTCTGACTCCCTAAAGGAAGCCACAGACTCGAGTTTCTGAGAGCTGAGCAGGGCAGCTGAAGACAGGACAGTCATTGCTCATTCATAGAGTCACCGTAAGTTGAAGATGACTTGACAGCACATAACAACAACATCAACAACAAACATATTGCCTTAGGATGAATATTGAATGGGGAAATCATTTATTAAAATTGTTCACCCAAAGCATCAAGTGCAATATAAAAATTGAAAATATTAAAAACTTGAATGAATGGGGAGTGCTGTATTGTTTACTTAAGCTGCCTCTTGATCCTGTCAGGGATTCAACCTGTTACCTTCTATATTTAGTGCATGTATTTTCTCACAGTTCTGTGTTCCTGCCCTAATCCAAATGAGTTAATCCCGATTAGTTAGATGCCTAATTTGTTTGGGATTAATAGTGTTTATTTTAATCAGACAGCACAGCCTACAGAAATCTGTTTTTTTAAAAAAAATTAATTTAATTTCTAGCATTCCTTGGGGAAGTGCTTTATTCTCTTCTGATAACGATGTGTACAATGGCAAATTAGACTGGTGAAGTGCTTAGCTTACAAAAGAATCTAGGTTCATTTCAGTCCCTTGCATTTCTAGGTTAGGGTAGAAAACAAAGCTGTAGAGATGTGTAATTTATTTTTTCAAACTTCAATTCCCAGAATTCTCCAAGAATTCACCAAGCAGAATTCTGGAAGCTCCAGGCCTCAGGACCACACCTACATACACCTGTATTTTGCTCACTGGGACCAGAGCTTTCTCTGAGGCAGACTATCTTGGGGCTTGCTTCCTGTTGTGCAAAAGAGAAGGTTGCACCAGTGCTTCCTAAAGTTTGTAGTTCTTTTAGGAAGTGCCTTCTATAGAGTCTAAAGGGCAATGAGACTGTGACTTATAGGAAGCACTGCTGCAGCCTCCTTTTTTGTTCATTAACAACAGGAAGCAAGGCCCAATATAGCCATCAGCCTTGGTAGACCCTAGTCCAGGTGAGT